CTCTGTCTCTCTCTGGTCAAATTAAAATAAATGAATAAACAAATTAAAAAAATTTTTTTTTGAAAAAAAAAAAAAGAAAAATTAGGACTCAAAAATTTTTTTCATCCTCTTTCTATTGAATCCATTCACTGTCACTATAAAATCACATTGCAATTAAGTACCTTTAAGTCAATTAATTACAAAAGTAATAGTTTAGAGGATTTAAATTTTGGGGCCAGCAGGTAGTATAGTGGTTAATGGTGCTGGACTCCCACATGGCCAACTGCGGTAAAAAAGAAAAATTAGGACTCAAAAATTTTTTTCATCCTCTTTCTATTGAATCCATTCACTGTCACTATAAAATCACATTGCAATTAAGTACCTTTAAGTCAATTAATTACAAAAGTAATAGTTTAGAGGATTTAAATTTTGGGGCCAGCAGGTAGTATAGTGGTTAATGGTGCTGGACTCCCACATGGCCAACTGCGGTTTAAGTCCCAGATCTGGTGGCTTGCTTTCTCACTTTCCCTCTCTCTCTTTCTGTCTCTCTCTGGTCAAATTAAGATAAATAAATAAAATAAATAAAGTTAAATAAAATAATACTTTAAAAAAAGAAGATTTGAATTTTGAATCAATAAATCAGTTTTACCTTTATTTTATGACATGAGCATAAGAGCACATTATTGCTCAGTTTTAAATAAATTGTATCTAAAACACACAGTATCTAAACATCTTCATTATACAAAGATCTGCACAAAACCAAAATCATTTCATGTTCTTATTCAGTTTAAGACAGAAACAAATAGGAAGAATTGGTTTTTCAAACCTGTTTTGATGACAGTATCTTCTTATGTCTTCTGTTTTTTGAAACTCCCTAATGGCTGCTGGCTTTATTGGTGAACCCTAAACCAAAAAGACAGAAATAGGTCAATTTAGCACATATAGTTAAACTATATAATTAATACTATTGATGATAAAACATGGTATTAACTAAAAGATAAACATTATTGGCAATTTAACTTACTTATAAACTAAAGGGTAAGGGTTGATTTCAGTAAGTATTATCGAGGAAAATTAAACTGGCTGAAGTGATATGAACCAAAAATTGAAAAGTGAAACTGAAAGCTGAAACTATGAAACTAAGGTAGAAGTTGAAAGGTTATCACAGTATGTATTTTGTCAAATGAGAATCTATAGAAGCAATACAATCTTATGTTGGGGCCGGCAGGTGGCATGGTGGTTAAGGGCGCTGGATTCCTGCATGGCTGATAGCCGTTTAAGTTCTGGATCTGGTTGTTTTGTCCTCCTCCCACCTCCTGCCACCTGTCACTCTGGTCAAATCAAAATAAATAAAGAAGTGGATAAATAAAGTTAAATAAAATAATTCTTTTTGGGGGTGTGTGTGAGAGGTTTTTACTATAGGGCGCATGCGTTTGCCAGAAAGAGAGAGACAGAGACAGAAAATGAGAAATCACCCCCCAGGGAGTTGGCCACGCCGCAGTTCCTTCTCCTTCATTCTCCTCTTGGGCTCACGGGTACATACGCACACGCACCCAGTGTGAGTTTACGCTGCTGGATCAGGGACTCGAACTGTGGTCGACTACATGGGAGTCCTACAACATAGCCATTATGCCAACTCCTGGTCCCAAATAAAGTAATTCTTAAAAAGAAAAGCAATACAATCTTATGTCAACACCAAAAATAATCATAAAAATGAGTATTCTCCATGAGAAAAATAAAACTTTTTCAAAAAGGATATCTAAAAATTAAATATAAAAAATTTTTAAAAGTTTATGATGTGGAAGTCATAAAAGCCTTATGACAAAAAGTCATAAAGACTACCACACCCACACATAGTAGATAGAACTAAAAATACATTACTGGGCCAGCAAGTGATGTGGTGGTTAAAGTAGCTGGATCTCACATGGCCACCTTTATGGTTTGAGTTCCAGACCTGGCGGCTTGAAAATCACTCCAGGCACACGTGCATGCATGCCCAAATTCTCAAGAAGTAAATGAAGGCGAAGGGACTGTGGCGTGACCATCCCCTCTGGAGGAGAGGCTGTCGCACTTTCCCTCTCTCTTTCTCTCTCCTGTGATCACACATACCCTACAGAAAAGCTAAAAACAAAACAAAACCATATTATTATAAAAGAGCGAGGGGTGTGATGGTTAAGTTACTGAACTCTCAAGTGATTCAGCATGGTTTGAGTCTTTGACCTGGCAGCTTGCTTTCTCACCTTCCCTCTCTCTCCCCCCATCTGTCTCTGGTGAGCACATGTGCCCTACAGCAAATTAAAATAAATAAATAAATACATAAAATTAAATGAAAAAAATTAAAAAGTTACTACAGTATTTCATAGCAGCATAATAGTTATTTTCACTTTTAATACATATGCTACATCTATACAGCCTAATTAACCATAAATGATTGATGAGAAAGACCACGCAAAAAGAAAAAGGATTCCTTTAAAGAGTATAATATGCTACTGTTAATTAAAATTCTACTGCAATGTAGTGGTCCTATGCTCTAGCAGGAAAGTTAATAACCTGAATCACAATGGTTTCATCAATCACCTAGAACATTGCTATTTCTGGAACACAGGACTTTGATTTATGTTACTTTATCCAACATTAAATACAAGGGTGTCTTCTGAATACCAACAAAGATACTGTGTTCAGAAGCCTACAGATAGGAAGACTAAAGAATTTTTTGAAGAATGATAGTATCACTCTACATCATGTCCCACTTGATGTAATTATTCTCTATTTCTAAAAGGCTAAGCACATTATTCTCCAAAATGGCTGAGTGTTTCTCATATAACCCCTGCTCAGAGCCTGGGACCAATTCCAGACATCAACATCACATACACTAAACTGAGCCATTTTATTATGCAGACTAGATACACTGAAGAATGCTATTCTACTTGAGACCCTTGGGGAATTGGCAGTGATTCCACAGTGGGCTGAATGCTCATTTGTTTTCTAGGCAACTCAATGCTCCACTATAAGTAAGATACCCAAGAATTTTAATTATATTAAAATACTGTGTGACAGCATAAAAAGCTTCAATGCAATTAAAGCCTATTATAAAGAGTCTACAAATAAGTTCGTATATTGCCACAGAAGTCAGCTTTTTGGTTTAATTCTTAATTACTGATCAAACTGTGATTTACCAGTTAGTAACAAGAAAAAAAGCAATAAAACAACAATGAAAAGGATGTTATTTCTTTGCGTTTTCTTAAGGCTTTAGTTACTCTTAGGATTCCTTTTATTCCTTCTTCAAAATTCTGAAATCTGTCTTCATATTTGTAAAATAAACCTAAATCCTATTTGAGATCACTGATTCATAATGAATCTGAAATTCAGCACTGAAATGAAAAGTCAATATAAAATAATTAGGCTTAAACCAATAAATCACTGAAATGACAGAAATTTATACTACCATGAATCTTTTTTATTAGGTGACAGCAACATATTTAGGCTTCAGTGTTTGTACTACCTCATGTGAGATTCGCCGTTGTTCAATATAAGCCATAAACTCAGTGCTAAGGCTGTCTGAGTTCAGGCCCTTGGGTTGCCTCACTTCTTCTTCTTCCTCAGCGGTACAGCTGTCAATGTAGTCAATCTGATCCAGATCCTGTTCTGCTATGTACGCCACAAATGCATGCCAGAAAAACACACTCAGATTAGATAGCTAATAAAAGACATTTACTTAAACTATATTCCCTCTTTTTCCATATTTTTAATTCTGACAGTGAGAAGAATGACAGGAAGTTTAAATTACACAAGCCTTTATTATTTAGTCCATTGCCATTTACAAAATAGCCTTGAGAAAATCTTAGCCCTAATTCACTCAGAATGCAGTAATTGATTACAGATCACTAACATCTGTTTCTCTGGACAACTCTTTGCTGTTTTAAACAAGAAAGCTGTATTTTGTGAGCTAAATAAAGATAAATTCCTAAAGTCTGAAAGGTAACTCTTCTTTTAATATGTTAGGTTTGGGACTTGATAATATCTCTTTGGGGATGTGAGGCAGAACTCCCAGGAAAGTAAAAGGCAATACAAAAAGAGAAAGGGTGGAAGTAAACTGTGCTTTGAGGAGAAATAAGTGGTTACTAACTACTCCTGCCCTTCCTGTGACTGCTTTTGATCAAACTTCTTAAAAAAAAAAAAAAAAAAAAAAACTATGACCAGAACAAAGATATTTCTATGAAGAAAATTATTTGCTAGAGATCAGTGTTGCCAATACAACAATATGGATAGAAGGAATTTTTGGATAGAAGGGAACCATTTGAGGAATTTTTTTCTTCTCAGAATGCTTTAGGGTGAGAAGCATATAAAGAAATAGCCACTTTACTGTTTCATCTAGTTAGAGAGTACGAGAAAGAAAGCACCATCCCCCCCGCCCCCAGCCACACAGGAATCCCTTCCCCAACTTTTCTTTCTTACTTATTTTTTTTTAGTTTTTGCTAGAGAGCATGTACACTCACTGGAGAAGAGAAACAAGAGACAGAGAGAGAGAAAATGAGATATTAACACCAAGGGGGATGGCCACACCACAATCCCTTTTCTTCCATTCTCCTCTTGAGATTTTGGGCATGCTCTCACACACACACAGAGCCTGGAGTGGTGTTTTCCGAGCCTCTGGGTCTGGGACTTGAATTGCATGGTCAACCAAGCGGGATCCAGCTGCCTTAATCACTCTATCGGCAGGCCCGCTTTTAAGTTTTAAAGTAATTATTTAAACCAAGAGTTAAAATAATATATTAAAACAAAACAAAAAATTTCTACTAAAGTGATTTCTCCAGAAACACATTAAACATGTCAGTGTTAGATGATGTTCTACAGGTTGCTGCTTAAAAGTTGCAGCTGCTGCAGAGGCCGGCCGATGGCATAGTGGTTACATCTCTGGATTCCCACATGGATGACATGACCATGGTTCAATTTCTAGACCTGGGGGGTTGAAAATCATGCCAGGCTTGTGTGCGTGCAGACCAATGATCCTAGGAAGAGAATGGAGAAGGGAGTGTGGCCTGGCCATCCCCCCGGGGGGGTGATTTCTCACTTTCTCTCTCATTGTCTCCGTCTCTCTCTGGTGAGCTCATTTCACCCTAAGGCAAAAATCTCTAAAAAAAAAAAAAAAAAAAGTTGCAGTTGCTGGGAGCAGTGAATTTGAAGATTTGATTTACTCTAATAAAGTTTCATCCCAAAATGAAAATGAGAGAAAAGCATTTTATTTTACCTGCAACCCTAAAAACAGAGAAATTAAAGTTTCATCCCAATGGAAAATAACTTTTTTCAATCATACATGGGGAAAAAAGTCTTTAAAAGAGTGAAGAAGTAGGGCCAGCCAGTGGAATCATGGCTAAGGTGGCTGAATCTCACATGACCAACTGCATGGTTCTAGTCCCAGACCAAAGGCTTAAAAATAATGCTGGACACACATGCATATGTGCCCAAAATCACAGGAGGAGAAGGGACTGCACATGGCCATTTCCCCTAGGGTGTGATTTCTCATGTTTCCTCTCTCCCCAGAGAGCACATGTGGCCTTTAGCGAAGCAAAACAAAACAAAGAGAGTATAAAGAAGCTACAAATAAATAAATGGAGTGAATGTAAAAAGCTACTTTAAAAAGTTAAGGTAGAGGCTAGCAGGTACTGTGGTGGTTAAGGTACTGGATTCTCATAGGTTGACCATAGTTTGAGTCCTAGACCCAGGCTTGAAATCACGCCAGACACGCATATATGCATGCCCCAAATTCTGAGAATGGGGAAGGGATTGTGGTGTGGCTGTCCTACAAGGGGGTCATTTCTTACTTTCCCTCTCTCTCCAGTGAGAAAACATGCCCTAAGGCAAAAACCTAAAAAGAAAAGTTAGGATGATTATAAAGACTTTAGATATCATCAGGATTACATTTACCTCCACCATTTGTTACTATTAAACTGCTGCGATTCTCTTGGTACTGGCTTTCTCTTCGTAGTCTTTGTTCTTTGGTAATCTCTGCTACTCGAAGAGGAAGATCTGAAAATTCATCTGTAGGCTTAAAAATTGGCAGAAATATTTTTTAAAATCATTATTTCCAATATTAGACAACACAAGCATTTAAAAGTATAGGTATAGGGGCCAGCAGTTGGCATACTCGTTAAAGGCACTGGATTCCCACATGGCCAACCGCAGTTCAAATCCCAGACCTGGTGGCTTGCTTTCTCATTCTCCCCCACCCAGCTCCCGATCAAACTGGGAAATAATAATAATAAAAATAAATAATTATTTAAAAAAAGTATAGGTATAATATTAATATAAACTTGGGCCAGCAGATGGCATAGCAGTTACATTGCTGGACTCCCACATGGCCGACCACAGTTCGAGTTCAGACCTGGTGGCTTGAAATTCAAGCTAGGTGCATGAGCCTAAGTGACCAAATTCCTAAGAGAAGCATGAAGGAGAAGGGATTGCAGCATAACCATCTTCACTAGGGGGTGATTTCTCACTTTGCCTTTTACCGTCTCTGTCTCTCTCTCTGGCAAGCGCACATGCCTAAGGCAAAAACCTCTTACCCCCCCCCAAAAAAAAGAATATTAACTCAATCAGATTTATGTTCAAAAAGAAATAGCAAAAAGGTTCTAGAGATGGACAATGTGAAGGCTGTAAAACATTAAGACAGACATGTACTTAATGGAACTGAAAAGTGTATTTTTAAAAGGTAAAAAGAATAAAGTTTATGTTATGTAATATTGTACCATAATTAACAGAAAGAAGAAATAGAAGAGTATTTCATCAACACATATGTCTGAGGAGACTTCAAAGAGTTCATAGAAAAAGAAATTAAAGTATTAGTTTATGGGGCCAGTAGATGGTGTGGTGGTAAATGTGCTAGAGTCCCACATAACCAACTGTAGTTCGAGTACCGGATCTGGTGGCTTGTTTTCTCACTTTCTCTCTTTCTCTGTCTCTCTCTGGTGAGCACATGTGCCCTAACAAATTAAAAATAGGAGCCAGCTGGTGGCATGGTGGTGAAGGTGCCGGACTCCCACATGGTGGACTATAGTTCAATCCCGGACCTGATGGCTTGCTTTCTCACTTTCCCTCTCTCTCTGGTGAACACACATGCCCTATAGTAAATTTTAAAAATAATAGTAAGTTAAATAATTCTTTAAAAATTAATAAATAAAATAAATCACTCATAAAAAAGTTTATTCTGGTACAAAGAAATTTTGAAATCCATAACTTTTTCATAATATACATGTCCATGAATTTTTTGAGGACTCCTTAAATTTTTTTAATAATTATTTTATTTAACTTTATTTACTATTATTATCAATATTTTTTTCCAGTTTGATCTGAGAGAGACAGAGAGAGAGACAGAGAGAGAGAGAGAGAGAGAGAGGAAATGAGAAAGCAAGACACTAGGTCTGAGACTTGAACCGTGGTCAGCCATGTGGGAGTCCAGCGCCTTTAACCACCACGCCACTTGCCGGCCCCAGAGGACTCCTTAAATTTGTATAGATATAGCAACACTTAACATATACATTCTCCCACATGTACATACACATATAATACAAATAATTATGCTCTAAAATTTATTGGTTTGGATTCTCAACAACGTTATAAATGGTAACTTACTAGTCTTGCTAACAAAGCTTAATCATTTAACCCACTTTATAGCTAAAATATCACATTTAATAAGAGAGAGATTTTTTGCTATAGTGTGTGCGCGCTCACTGGAGAGACAAAGTGAGAAATCACCCCCCGGGAGGATGGCCATGTCTCAATCCCTTCTCCTTCATTATCCTCCTGGGATTCTGGGCATACACGTACATACATCTGGTGTGAGTTTTAAGCCGCCAAGTCTCGGACTCTAACCTAAGTTGGCTATGTGGGTGTCCAGTGATTATTACGCCATTAACACCACCTACTGGTCTCACGTTTAATCATTTTAAAAAGCAGAAAATATAATACTAATATGGAACAAAGCAGAAAAATCATATAATTAGCTAAAAAAGTTATTTATCTCAGGCATGTGATAGTCTTCACCAATGTTCCTATCTCTTCACTTATCAGCCTACAGTCCTATTTGTTTTCTTATCTTCTAGTACCCTTCTACTACCTGCTAATGATTACCGAGTCCCTCAAATTTTAATCTTAGTTTTTTGTTTGATTCTTTTTTTTTTTTTATAAGAAGTTTTTGCCTTGGGTGTGTCTGCTTGCCAGGGAGAGATAGAGACAGACAGACACAGTGAGAGGGAAGGTGAGAAATTACCCCCTGGGAGAATGGCCACACTGCAATGCCTTCTCCACTTTCCTACTGGAATCTTGGGCACACATGCACACGTGCCTGGTGTGATTTTCAAGCCACTGGGTCTGGGACTCGAACAACGATTGACTATGTGGAGTTCAGCAACATAAGGACTACACAACCTGTTGGTCCCTTAGCCTTAAGTTTTAACTGGGTCACCTCCTACTGAGTTCCCCAGATATGAAACTATTTATATGTGCCAATTAGGTAACAAATATGTAAAAACACACAGGGTAAAAAGATGGTAAAGAAACAAAACACTATTTTTCTGGATGGTAGAATTAAATGAGATTTTTGTCTCCTTGACTTTTCTTTATGTTATATAATGAGAAATTGAATTTAATTAAAACTCTTTCCTTTCTCATCATTTTATTTTCTCTTCATCAGTTTTTAGCATATGAAAATTTACTACTACTGTGTTTTCACCATCAAAATTTATAAAACCGGCTACTTTGATAACTTTAAATCAGACTCCAGAGATGTCACCAACAGTATGACCTTTTTGACCAAATCCAGCAAGCAAAAACTTCATTTTCCTCAGTAAGTTCAAGCAACCATCATGGGTACAAAAGCTGTGATCTTCTGGCCACTCTTGATCAGCTGGACCCTGACACACTTCTGAAGGGAGAATTTGGTTATTTGGCTTCAGCTCCTACCTTCTGCAGCATAATTCCCTTCGCGTGGGAAGCACCTCCAAAGGGTTAGACTGCAGGGCTGTGCCTGAAAGGGCTTTCTTGTACTGTTTACCATGCCATTTCTGTCCCGTCAGTGACTACCGAGCTTCCTGGCAGTATGAAGACATAACATGTGGACTAGAAACTTACCTCATTCCCTGACCATCTCTTATCACCACTGTCCACACTATTGAAACCGGAATCAAGGGCTCCATAAGGGCGACCTGAGTATAGTTCTTCATGGCTGCTGAAGAGAGACTTTAGTTATAACTATGGATTTTGATATTTTAAAAATGAACATCTGAAATAAACCAGATGCAATTTTACATTCTCAGAGCACTTAGTCATTTAAGTATCAGAAATAAATGGACAATCTTTTAACTTTTTTTTGAAGTTTATTTCTTCCTTGAGAGAGAGAGCAACAAGGACAAGCACCCTGAAAAGGGCCCTAAAGCTGCAATTCACCTGAAATCTCAGTCAGCTATAATCATAGGCACACATGTGCATGCTGGTGCGGAGAGGGAGGTCCCACGATGTGAATCCAGGAGTTGTATTACTGCCATGCTACTGCCCAGTCCCTCTTTAAACTTTTTAATATGAAAAACTCCAAACAGAAATAAAGTAAATAGAATAGTGAGCCCCCATGTACTCATTATCTAGCTTCAAAATATCACCACCATTATCAATAGGCCCAGGCTGGTGGCTCTGTCTGTAACATACTGAACTGCAGTGCTGAAGCCATGTGGTTGATCTGGTTCAGATTCCCAGCCCATCTGGCCTAAAACATGCCAGATGTATCTGCACACATGCCCCAAATCCTGGCAAACTGGAGAGCTGGGAAAATGGAATCATGATCTGATGAGATTCTTTAGCGAATCCAGCTGGTTTAACCATACCACCACCAGCCGGTCGCTGTCTCTCAGTCGAGCACTCACGCCCTACAGCAAAATCTCTATTTAAAAAAAAGTGCAAATCTGGAGGTCAGCTGGTGGCACAGTAGTTAAGGCGCTGAACTCTCACATAATCAACCATGGTTTTGGTCCTGGACCCAGTAGCTTGAAACTCATGCCAGGCACATGTGTGCACATGCCCAAAATCCCGAGAAGAGAATGGAGGAAAAGGGACTGTGGGCAGCCATCCCCTCCAGGAGGGTGATCTCTCACTTTCTGTCTCTGTATCTCTGGCGAACACACATGACCTACAGCAAATATCTCTTGGGGGGGAAAAATATAAATCTGGGACCAGCAGGAGACATTGTGGTTAAGGTGTTAGTCTCCTACATGGCCAAACCGCAGGTTGAGTCCTAGATCTGGCAGCTTGCTTTCTTACCCTCTCTGTCTGTCTCTCTCTGGTGAATCAAATAATAATAATAATAATAAAAAAATAAATAATTTTTTAAGTGCAAATCTATTTTCAGAAGTTGCTATACTGTTCTGCAGTCCTACCATTGATGCTAATACTTATACTGTCAGTCTTTAATTTTAGCCATTCTGGTGGATATAAAGTGAGATCTCACCATATCACTGTGGTTTTAATTTGTAATTCTTTGATGAGCATATTTCTGTGTATTTATTGGCCATTTATATGTTCAAATCTTTTTTGCCCATTCTTTAATGCGACATCTATGAATCTCCAAAATATTTTGCTAAGTTTAAAGCCAAACACAAAATGCTACATAACATTTCATTCATATATAAAATTCCATAAAATGGAAACAATCTTAGTTGTATTGGTGATTTATCAAAACTTATTGAACTGTACTGGACTTAAAAAGGCAACTGTTATTGGTATTGGTGATTTATCAAAACTCATTGAACTGTACTGGACTTAAAAAGGCAACTGTTATTGTTTGCAAATTGTATCTCAATGGAACTGTTTATAAAAGATTGCCAACCCATTTGTCAACATGGATAAACCATTTTTACATTTCTATAAACACTGTGTGAGAGCACTTAATGCTCCCATCCTCACCAAGATTTTGTGGCGTCAGTCTTCCTTACCTTAGTCATTTTAGTGGTGTGTAGTGATAGATCACTGTGACTTAATTTGCATTTCTAAGATGACTCAAGATGTTGAGCACTCTGTGTGCTTACCAGCTATTTTTGTATCTCTCATTGTGAAGTGTCTGATCAAAACTTCTGTCCATTTTCAACTGAGTTGTCTATCACTAAGTTGCAGTTTTTTGTCAGATATTCTGGACACAAATCTGTTGTAATACATATGTTTTGCAAATATTTTCTCCCAGTCTATGGCTTATTTATAAAGCTGCTTAAAATCATCACAGCAAATAGCATCAGTCACTACAGATTGCTAAAACATACTTCTCTTTGCTTAAACAACCAGTTTAGAGCTGATGTTTAAATGTTATTCATACTGCCTATTTAAATCTTCAACCAAATAGCCCGATCCAAAACCTCAGAGTATTATAATAAAGCTATTTCTGATGACCTTATGTAAAGGAAAGCAGTATTTGTGTGGCCAAATCAACTTTTTTCTTATTTTTTTAAGAATTATTTATGGAACCAGCAGTTAGCGTAATGGCTATGTCGCTGGACTCCCACGTAGTCGACCGTGGTTCGCGTCCTAGACCCGGTGGCTTAAAACTCACGCCGGGCGCGTGTGCGTGCATGCCCAAGATCCCGAGAGAATGGAGGAGAAGGGATTGTGGCATGGACATCCTCCCTCGGGGGTGATTTCCTGCTTTCTGTCTCTCTGTCTCTGTCTGGTGAGCGCACGCGCCCTATAGCAAAAACTTATCAAAAAAAAAAAAAAAAAAATTATTTATTTAATTTTATTTATTCATCCACTTATTTTAATTTGACCAGAGAGAGACAGAGAAAGGGAAAGTGAGAAAGCAAGCCACTAGATTTGGGATTTGAATCATGGTCAGCCAAGTGGGAGTAACTAGCGTCTTAACCACCATGACACCTGCTGGTCCCTTAACTGTTCTTTCATTTGTCAAATATTTGTTGATGGTCCATCCTGACAGCACAGTTGGTACAAAACTGAACTGCAAATGTTGGAAGCCACATGGCTGGCTGCAGGTTCAGATCCCAGGAGTCAACTTGAAAATGTGCTGAGTATATGCATGCATGCTTAGGATCTTAGGGAGGTAGAAAGGCTGGGGAAAGGAGATTGCAGTATGACAAGACCTTGTTGAAGGTGCTTTTCTCTTTCTTACATGTATGCATGCATTCTCTATCATGAATAAAAAGTAAATTTAAGGCCAGTCAGTAGCATGGTGGTTAAGGCAGCTGGATCCCACATGGCTGACTGTATGATCTGAGTCTCAGACCTGGCAGCTTGAAAAACACACCAGGCATGTGTGTGTGCACACCCAAAATTTCAAAAGGAAAAAATGGAGACAAGGAATTATGGTGTGACTGTCTATCCTGGGGGAGACAGGAGAAAGGGAGTGAAGAGAGTGCTTTCTCACTCTTCCTTCCATCTCTCTCCTGTGAGAACACATGCCCTCTAGCAATTATTAAAACAAAACAAAACAAAACAAAAAAACTAAACAAATAAATATTTGTTGAACATCTACTGTGTATTTCAAAAAGTCAGTTAAGTTTAGGCCATAGTGGTGAAGAAAAAAGGCATGGCTAGGCCAGTCCTGTATCCTAGTGGTTACGGGGCTGGCTCCACATAGCCTACCACAGTTCAAATCTTGTTCCCAGCAGGCTAAAAAACAGGTTGAGTACATGTGTAGTACATGTGTATGCATGACTCAAATCATGAAAGGACAGAGGAATGGAAAATCAGGGATTACAGCATGACCATGTCCCACTGGGTGTTGCTTTCTCATTTTCCCAATCTCTATCTCCCTCTAGTGAGAATGCATGCCCTCTGACAATTAAAAAAAAGGCATGCAGGTGGTGCAATGGTTTAGGCACTAGACTCCCACATGGCTGACTGCAGCTCAAGTCCTGGACCTGGAGGCTTAAAACTCACGCTGGGGGCGTGTGCATGAGTGCCTAAAATGCCAAGAGTAGAATGGAGGAGAAGGGACTGTGGCATGGCCATCCCCTCAAGGGGTGATTTCTCGCTTTCTGTCTCTCTGTCTCTGCCTCTCTGTCAAATGCATGTACCCTATAGCAAAAAAAAATTTCTCTCTCAAAAAAAGGCATGGTCAGGAACCAGCAGTTAGCGTAATGGCTATGTCGCTGGACTCCCACATAGTTGACCGCGGTTCGCATCCTGGACCCGGTGGCTTAAAACTCACGTCGGGTGCATGTGTGTGCGTGCCCAAGATCCCGAGGGGATTGCGGCGTGGCCATCCCCCCTGGGGGTGATATCTCGCTTTCTGTCTCTATGTCTCTGTCTGTCTGGCGAGCACACGCACCCTATGGCGAAAAACTTTTTCCAGCCCCCCTAGGGGGAAAAACCCTCCGGGAAAAAAAAAAAAAAAAAAGCCATGGTCTATGTAAAGGGTAGAAATCAAATCCCTGTGGAGAAATACTTTATTTACCCAAGAAATTATGTTCTAGATAACCAAAATTTTCATAGTCTACAATTTTAACTCTATATTGTTAAATATTTAATTTGAAAAATTTCTGAGGCCAGCAGGTAGAATGGTGGTTGAGGCAATGGATCCCATGTCTGACTCTGCAGTTTGAGTCCTGGACCCTGTGGCCTGGAAATGTGTTAGGTGCATGTGTGTGTATGTGTGCCCAGGGTCTGAAGAGGAGAACAGAGAAGATGGGACTTTGGCATGGCCAGTCCTCATAGGTGTTTTCTTGCTTTCCCATTCTCTCTTTCTCTCTCTGGAAAGCACATACACCTTATGGCAAAAATCTAAAATAAATAAATAAATAAATAAATTCTGATAAAGATATTTAAACTATAATATTTATTTCCTTTTTGTGTAACAGCTATATACTTAATATACCTTAATGTTTTAAGAACATGAATTATTTACTGTTCTACAATATAATAATAATATATTTCTGAATAAAGTTTTTTATATATATATACTGTATCAAACTGTTATACTTTTCAAGCTTTACTGCTTTTAAATATCTTATTAGAATTATAAAATACACGGGGCATGCAGGTGACATGGTGGTTAAGGCACTGGACTCCCACACAGCTGAATGTGGTTTGAGTCCCTGATCTGGTGGCTTGCTTTCTCACTTTTCCCTTTTCTCTTTCCGGTCAAATTGAAAAAATAATAATAATAAATAAAATTAAGTAAGTAATTCTTTTTTAAAAAAATGGAACTACAGTATTCTCAGCAACCCCTATTAGGTATAGATCAAAGAAAAAAGAAAGAAAGTAGATATGTAACAAAGATATGTGCACCACACTGCAGTCCCTTCTTCTCTATTCTCCTCTCAGGATTTCACGTGCCCAGCGTGAGTTTAAGCCACTGGGTCTGGGACTCGAACCACGGTCGACTACGTGGGAGCCCAGCGACATAGCCGTTACGCTAACTGCTGGTCCTTAAATAAGTAATTCTTAAAAAAAAGAATTACATGGCTGCGAGGTGGTGTGGTGGTTAAGGTGCTGCGGGTTCACACATGGCTACTTCAGTTCAAGTCCGCTTGCTTGCTCGCTTGCTCTCTCTCGGTCTCTCCCTGGTCAAATTGAATAATAAATAAAATAAAATAAATAAATAACTTTTTAAAAATATAGCAAATATATAGATATTAAAGAAAATCTATAGAGGTGGCTTTTAAAATTGATGTGACACTATTAATATCGCTGAAGTCCCCGTAAGCCTCTTTATTATGTCTTTATTCCTTTTAAACATTATCTTTAGTTATTTTTATTTATGTGTATATTTTTTAATTTTTTTTCCTTCCAATTAATTTTCATACTTAATATGTCTTTTAGAAACTGTACCAAATGGAAATGTTAATCTGGTACTGACTAGGAAATTGAGAAGCAAGTTCATTAGGATTGTGTTTCTAAACAAAACTTGATAGGTGCCCCCCAAAAAAGCCTGAAGAGTTCTCTTTGAGGAAAATCTTTAAGAGTTACTGCACCTTCACTGAAACATCTATCTTGCCTGTTCAAAAGCCTGTTTAAGACTGCTTAATTCCTGCTTAAGATTGTTCCAGATGGTTGGGACTGCCAAGTAGATGACCTTATAAGTCATGTGTTATGTAGCTGAGGGAGTCACAGACAAAAGAATCCTGAAGTGATGTTAATTATGAGCTAATCCAACCGCTTCACTCCCTGTGGGAAAAATGAAGCCCAGAAAGCTCAAATAACTTATATTAAGTCACAAAGCTAGTCTGTTACAGAGCTAAAGTTAGTATTCAAATCACTCAGACCAGTGGTTTTCAAATGGGGGCTCTCAGAGGGCACTATGTCTGGAAACATGTTTGAATGTCATACTACGATGGTTCTACTGGCTCTAGCGACTACAGGCCAGAGCTGCGGCTAAACATCATACAAGGCACAGAACAGGCCCTCTAACAAAAAACGATCTGGTCTAAAATATCAATAGTGCTAAAGCTGAGAAAGCCCTGCTTAAAACTATACTTAATTAGATCTATGTAATCAACTTTGTATTTCATACAAGCATTCTGAAAATAAGAGTCTTAAAATGGTTATTTCCCTTTAGCCAAATATTTAGGCAAATTTAAGAATCCAGTTTGATTCCCTGCATGATAGAATACAACAGAAAAAGTATTAGAAGATACTCACCAAGAGCCAAAACCCAAGGGTCTCCTATCATAATCGGGCAGATCAGGAGCAATCTTGCAAGCTTGTATGTTCAGGTATTTAAATATGTGAATTTTGCCTTTTATACATATCTAAATAAGATACAAATACAGTCAAGTTATTATTTATCATATATATATACACACACTCCTTTCTACCATAATAAGTTTTTACTAAATATAAATTAAGAATAGAAGATTATTTATAGAATGAATATACAGTAATACTAAAAAGCCAATATCCTTAAAATAAACTGTATTTTTTAGTGCAGTGTTATTTTTGGTGTTTAATTGGTATTTACAGGTTTTTCTTTTCTAGTCATTAATAAATTTTAGTGACATATAAATAATATATGATTACAAACACTGTTAAAATATCAGGTAGATTTACCACACTGACTAGTTAGGTATAGTCAGGGATTTAAAGCCTTTCTCCCCAACAGATTATATTGGCAACTTCTCCTTTCAGGAATCTAAGATTCATAAACAATTATGCTTTTAATTCTGCTTTCTATGAGAGAGCAGGAAATAATAAAATAATAAATTATATATATTCTGTTGTTATCTGTCCTGGAAGTCAAAACAGAAATTTTTTAAGCTTATGAGACCCTTCTATAGTTAAAAAGTTTATTAAAGTTCATTAAAGTTAAAAGAGCTCCAGTAAAAATTATGGGTTTGCAAAAATTTTGTATATTGTGGCTGATAAACGAATGATCAAACTGGCTAAATGAATATCTTATGACTGCCGAAAATATGGTCAGAAGAAATACATTAATAACCTTTAGTTCTTTTTTTTTTTTTTTT